GATCGGTAGTTTTGCTGCTAAAGCATAACATCTTCATACTTTTACTGTTTTTCGATATCTTGGACCCTTCTGGCCCAGTATGCAAAATTCTCATGAGAGATTTTATTGCTGAAGTATCAGGATGTCCAAAATGAAAATCCTATTATATGTTTCTGTAACACACTCGGTATTACAATTCATTGTCTGTGCATTACAACACCATAACATATGGAATACGCGTTTAATTCTTGATTCTGTTCTTTTTTAGTTTCTTTTAATTGCTTCTTCATTTTATAAAAACGTAGTTTTCTGATTTTCCTTTAACTTCATCTAGTGTAACTGGTAATTCCCGAACTACTTTGCACAGTAAGTTTTTAATTTCCATCTAGCTTTTCAGCGCTGCTATGACCGTGCCAAGATAATCCATCCGCATGTCCTATATTTTTAGATGGTTGGTACTTCATTGTAAAATTATAATTTAACAAGTTGGTGCCCAAACACTGCTACCTGTATGGGTAGGTATACTTTTCTTTGAGCCATTTATCGCTAATAATGGTTTATGGTCTATTTGCAGCGTGAAGTTTCTTCCATTAATAAATTTATTAAATTTTTTATAGCGAATGATTGCTAGAGCTTCTTTCTCTAACTGGCTGTAATTTTTCTCTGCCGGTACAAGCGAGTGTGAAGCATGAGCGAGAGCTTTAATTTTACTACCTTCGTATTTGTATAAAATTACTGCCCCAACAGCGTAATCACTATCATTTGCTACTACAATTTTTGCTTTTCGATCGTAGTGAGCTAACGATAAAACCGACGTAAGACACTTTTTTTTTATCTCGTCAAACGCTTTTTTGGCATTAATGTTCCCAGTTCCACTTTACTCTTTTTTTTTCAGTAGATTGTTAAGTAGAACTGTCAAATTATGTATATTATTTACATAAATTCGATAATTAGCCAGTACTAAAAAAAAAAAAAAAAAAAAAGCTTGTAATGTGGTTACGTTTGTTGGTGTAGGCGTATTTATAATTCTATTTTCCCTGTAACGGATCTAGTTTCCTACTATTTTTATCAATTATTTGTCCCAGGTCTTTTATTTATGGAAAAAAAAAAATTCACATTTTTCTTCAGTAAACTTGAATCCGTATTTTCTTAGTTATTGCATAATTGTTTTGATATATCCAACATTTTCTTCTTTCGACGCACTCTTGATCAAGATATCTTCCAGATACGCCAGTGCGAAATTGGAGTTCGACAGCATGGTATCCGTAGCTTGTTGAACAATAGCTGGAGTCATCTTTATACCAAAAGTAGATCGATTGAACTTGTTAATTCAGAAAATTGATATTCAATCTGAATTTTTAAATATGCTTTGAAAATATTTTTACGCAATTCAATTTTGAAAAAAAAGTTTCTTTGGAACAACTGGGTAATTATGAATTTTGAGACAATTATTTAATCCAGTCGAGAAATCCGCGCAAACAGGAATTTTGTCATTTTTTTTTCTTTACAATCACGGCTATTATAGCTCATTTCGAATGGTTTACTTTCTACAAGACACCAATTCTTTCTAGTCTGTCTCTTACTTATTCTAATACTGAGAATGGTACGCTCCGTTTTTGGTTTAACTACTGGCATCGAACCTTTGCTTTACTTGAAAATTCGCCTTGAATTTTGAACATCACTCCAATTGATTAGAGAGCACAACAGGAAAAAAAAATTAAGTGTGTTATGGAGTGGTTTCACAGTGGAGGCTTGTATTTGTACTAAGTCGGTCCTAAAATAGGTTCGACGTACAAAACGTTAAGAACTTGATACAATAGGTAATGACGCAGAGAAATCTAGTTGTGGTCGCTGATACTTTAGTATCCGACTAACGGTCGTCCGATATTGACTGACTGCCTGACCCACTGAGCGACTCCTCGTTACTCTTACTACTCCTACTTATTATAACTATAGAATAGGTGTGTTCCACTATAACAAAATTCTTCCTTGTTTTTTTATCTGACTTTTTAAATTGGTTGTTTGTCTAATTATATGCTTACAATAAGCGTTTATCGGCAAATCCCACAATTCGAATAGTTCCATCCAGTCCGTACCGAATAGATTCGTCGCATTTTTTAGAACATAATATTTTGCTTTGCTTATTTCGAAAATAAACATCTGATGTTAATTCTCCCCCACATCCAAATAATTTCTCGACAGAAAGTGAGGCTGCAACTTTGCAAGTTCTTTTTAATAAAGGTTTTCCAATTTCTTTCCATGTGATTTCATTTACTGTTGAAATGTCGCTACCAGTATCTAGTAACGTTTTTACTCCCACATTATGTATTTGTAGGTTAACAATTTTTTTTTGTTTCATATGCCTATTTTTCCGCCGCAATATTGTGTATTAATTTCTTTCTGCAAAATTTTTTTCTTGGTTTAGTCCTGCAGTGTGATTTGATATATCTTATTTTATCCCAGTTATAGCATTCTGCATTGTTCTATGGACAGTCTTTCCTAAGAAGTAATTTTTCATATCTGAAACTTAATTTTTATATTCCTTTTTGTGCACATTTCCTTAGCTTTTACCAATGCACTTTCTTTATTCTGAAGTTTTTCAGAATCATGATTCAGGCTTAGCATTGTTTAGCAATTGTCCACTTTTGCTGTAATGTTACGCTATTATTATGTTCAATCTTTGCTAAAATTTGCATTCGTACTTTATTATCCTTTTCCGCAGTTCGACTATGCACGAAAATTAATGCCTTCAACATATCTAGAGTCATTTCCTTTAGTTTAAATTGTTCACGTTCTCTGTCGAATGTACCCGCATACGTGACAAAATCTTTCACCTCTTTTTTGGTTAAATTTATGCACCTCTAAACGAGAATAGAACAGAGAGCACTTGGAACTAAAGTCAGAATGAGTGCTGTGTCTTCAAATCGTATTTCACCTGTTTTTTTATTTCTCGGTAATATATAATTGCAGAACTTTTCGTGCTCCATTGGCGCTGTTTTTCTTAACAACTTTGGTTTTTATCGTCATTCCAGCAACTGTGTTCCTGACTAAATAATTCTTCATGTTTGTGAAAATACGTAGAGAAAGTCAGTCCGTAATCAGGATTGTATACGACCTATAATACTGAGGTTTTCACCGCGTCTGGCGTAAAAGACGTTGAAGCATTTTTCTTCAAAACAATTGTCAATAAATCTTGTTTTTGCACTTGTGGCAATGTTGCTTCGGTTGTTGTTGACTTCCAATTATTGAAGGCAAAATTTTGTCCATATCTACAAGAATTTTTAAACCAACGTGGTTGAAATTCTTGTAACTTCTGTTGCGCACATGAGTTACAAAAATCTGGTGGCCTACTTTTATAGCTCCAGCTATAATATGGTTATTGTTATACAGCACTTGAGTTCAAGTTCCTCGCCAGCTAATATAAATCATGTTATAATGTTGCGATTTTATACCGCGCTTGTGTTCGAGTTCCTTGTTGCCAACTATTATAACTCCAGTTATAATTTTGAAAAGTATGTGTTCTAGTATCATCGTCCCCAATTATTAACACTTCCTTATGGAAAGATTATTGTTATAACACATGGTCGTACTTGTTATGACTTAATTCGTTAAAGTATACGCAATGCTTAGGATATTGCACTAACGCCTGTATAGTTCGTATGAAGACTGACTCCAATACGACTGGTATTTACCGGTCGCCCCAATGCAGACTAGATGCGACACAAGGTCAAGTTTTATGTGAAGAACCCGAGACTTTCCACTAGGGCCAGTGGTTAAAGTTTACCCAGTTCCCTTAAAAGCGGTCTCGGGTTCACTACTTGTCTGTTTGTCGCAGACGAGTTTATATCTGGAAACAGAGCTCCGACTGAGTCATTCTCTGCGCGAAGAAAATTGTCACAAGCCAGATAGTGAACTGCTTGACTCTAACTTGTCTGTTTTTCTCAGCTGAGTCTCTATCCGAAGACAGGACTCCGACTGAGTCATCCTCCGCTCGAAGTCTGACATCTTGTCTTGTCGAGAGCCTGGAACTAACACTGATTCGTCTGGCATTTACCAAACAACCTCTCCACAAAACAGGATGTGGCACAAGGCCGGTTTTTACGTGGGGCGATTCCGAGCCCTTAGGCTCTGGCAAAAATTCCTCGTAGACCCCACCTGCACCAGGTAGGGTATGTCAACCTACTCAGACGAGACTCTGCCCTTTCGCATAGCCTCGTCTGGGTTCCTCTATGCCCGAAGACAGAGTTCGACGAACCTGACAGCGAACTGCATGACTGCGAGGCATTTGGTATTTACCAAATCTCCCCACAAGGCAGAATGTACCGCAAGGTCGGTTATTACGTGTTGCGATTCCGTGCCCTTATGCTCAGGGAAAAATTCCCCGTAGAACCCTCATACATGGGGTAGGGTTTGTCTACCTACTCAAATGAGACTCTGCCCTTTGGCATAGCCTCATCTGGGTTCCTCTCTGCTCAAAGGTAGAGAGTTCGGCGAGCCTGGCAGCGAAATTCCTGACTGCGAGGTGCCTATTCCTGACCTCCTACCATGCAAATCTTTATAGTATTGGAGGAGTTCACAGAGTCACCGGTGGTGTGCTCTTTACTCCACAACACTAATCTCGCATTTTTAAAATATATATTCAGTAATAACTTTACTAATCTAAGTGGCAAAACTAAATAAAATTAGGAAGACAGTATTTTGCAAAACACCAGCTCTTGAAAATTAGTATTTGACACCTTAACCGACATAACTACCTCAATCATTAAGTAGCACTTAAAATATTTTGTGGAAAATATTATATTAAGTTTTTATTTACTAAGCCTCCATTAATCTAACATAATGATCTATCTGTTTAAGAATAGAATAAATCATTTGTATCTCAGTTTCAGATTCTAGTGATGACATTCTTTTCATATATTCAGTACTAAAACATTGTTTACAGTTAAGATTAGAAAAACAATCCGAATATATTTATTAACAGCTATCTGTACTGAGTTAAACCTAGTTTTAATCCAATTAAAATGATACCATTTTATTCTTTCAACCGTAGCTCACCAATCAGTGTATATAATTTTGTATTTAATCATGTGCAATACCCCCTCCAAAAAACAAAAAAAAACCCCCCAAAAAACCAAAAAACAAAAAACAAAAACAAAAAGAAAACCACAAAACAACAAAGAAAAGCAACAATTTAATTTTTTTTTAAAATGTACCCTTCAAGACGTTGGCGATCATAGCTGTTCACATAATAAAGAATACAATTCTTTCTTATATGTAAGTTGCCATTCTTTATAATAATAGTTAAACGATTTCCCGTTGGTGTCTCCACAGTTTGGAAAATAAGCAATCAGACTGAATATGAATTATACATATCTTGGGGAAAATTGATTGAACAGCTGCAGCCGTTTGTAAGTGATGATGTTTCAATACAGCTAAAAACAGAAAACCTTCCCTTTCTTTTACCACCCAAATCTTTGCGAGTCTAGAATCAGTATTACTTACCCGATAGAAAAATCAGTAGGACGTTTGACTTCTAATAAAGCAGACGTGAAAATTTGACTAATACAAAACCAAGAAAAAACAGCCTCCGAATCTCATTACCGGCTACGAATTTTAATCCTCAAAAGAAGTCGGGAATGATACATTCAAGTAAGCTAAACAAAATGATTTATTTCAGTTTCCTGTAATATAATGTCAGCCTTACTGAATTAGAAGAGAATAGATGCATCACTAGTTCTGTAGAAAAGTTGGAATGGAGTGAAAGAGAAAGGAAGGGGACGAACAAGAAATGTACCATACCTATTGTGACCTGATTTCATGCTTCCCACTGTGTTTGTTTGCACTGATCTCAAACCGTAGTTTCCCGAAGTAGAAAAGAAAGAAAAAAAAATAGAACAAGTAAATTCATGTTTCAATTTAGGTATGCCGGGCCTTCCAACTTTGGCAAATGTAATTTCAGTTAAGATCACATCACATAACCTAATATGCAACACGTTTAAAGGAAAATTAAATAATTTTTAATCATAGTTTTACTGTTCATCCAGAAGATATTGAAGAACTCATATACGGATTTCATCACAGGAAAAAAACAATAATATAATATATTGGCAGAAAATAAATGAATGAAACAGTGACACGGACTGCCCGATATAAATTACCACAGAAGCAGAATCAACCAACAGCTGTGGACACCTTCAACTAGTGGGTCAACCATGTTTGAGAATGTAGAGTCACTAAAACTTGAACAATCCATAAAAAAAGTGGGCGGTTGCAAAATCTATATTCATTTAAAGCCCAACTAAGTTTTACAATGTTATGATTTGCTGTTCGTACTCGACAACATGGTGGCCACCATAAACTATGTATAATTTTAAATCGTTTCACCAATCCCTAACGAAACGATAATACCGCTAAAAAGCCAGAGGTTACCGAGAGTAATAGAGAATGAGAAGACATTATTGACGAGTAAAGACAATAAAAGCACAGGATTCAAGAAGTCAGAAAATGGCACTTGACATTGCATTTAAACTCGTGATCATTGTTGATCTCATGGAAGAAAGAAAGTTTCAGTAGCGATAATTGCGAGAAAATGGAATTATTAGAATATAAATTACGGGTAAATCCACAGTTATTTCAACAGTAAAAAGATCAGACCTAGTTGCTAATCTAGTAGTAGGTTTACATTAACACGGTTGAGATATAAAAGAGGAGACCTCATTAGAACAATTTCCATTAAATATTTATAGAAAAGACAACGGAAGTCATGTTGTGACGGTGAGGAAGTGACTGAAGTCGAGATGGCAGGTAAGGACAGAAAACATTATAGAACCTTCTTTGTATTTTGTCGAGAATCTCCGTATATATTACAGGAACTCTAGACCAGATACAGCAGAAATATTCAATGCACAGAGAAATTGAATACTTATAAAAGTGTAAAATGGATTCTGACGAGAAACATTTTCTATCATGACACAGTGAACCAAATTTTCTAACAGTATACTACGTAATTGATTTAATATAATAACTCCACTTCAATGTTGCTATTTAAAATCTGCTTTGATATCCTATTCTATGTAGGCTACCAGAATTTCTGAATAACTGCGCGTGTATCTACTTTTAAAGAAAGTTTTCCTGTTGCATTTTATTCATTAAACACGTATATTGCTATCTAGATGTGTTTGCGTATTGCACTGGTAGACTAGATAGAACAGGATATCAAAGTAGATTTTGTAAAGCAACATCGTTTTTATTGGGAACTCCCATTGTACTCATGTGTATGAAATCTACAGCCAATCATCTAATTTGAATGTCATTTTCTAATTCAACATACCAAAATACATAAGAATTGACACATTTCGTTTCTGAAGTAGTCAACATGAGAAAAATTGGAGACCAAAGGATCTGAAGATTCAGAAGACTTCTTAAAAATAGGAACTACAGAAGAGGATTTCCAAGAATCGGCAAAGCAAGAAGCATCAGTGCTTTTGTTGTGGAGTTTTGTCGAATAGGTACCAGTTCAGGAGCATATTTCATTAGGGCAATTGCAGGGATATTTTCAAGTTCTCAAATATTTTGGGGATCTAGTTTGGAGGTAGAAGAAAATACAGGCGGCGTTATGTGCATATCACACAGCAGAGATTCCGTTGTAGGGGGGCGGGTGGTCAAACATACTCCTAATGAGTTGAATATATACACCATTGTTTGTAGATTAGCTGGTAGTTTGATCAGATATTAAAAAATAACAAATATGTACTTCATCCAGTGATCAGAATTATAGATTGTTCAATTATCAAAAACGATCATGCGAGGTGAGGCTGAAAGAGTCATATAGGTGAACACTGCAGTGATCAATGAAGAGACAGATTTTCTGACAAGATGATCTAATCATTAAAATTATATATATATATATATATATATATATATATATATATATATATATATTGATTCTTCAATGTCTAATATTTGTTTAATGTTTTTACTAATTGTTCAACCAATACAATGCCCAAGAGTTACTCAAAGTAGAGGGTTACTGATAGAGGTCGATGCACGTAAGAGGAGAAATTAAGAAGTGGAATTAAAGAGTATATGTAAGAAAGATAACGGTTAATCTTAAACTTAAAGCGATCGGAATCCATCCTCACGAAAGGCTGTTCCGCAGTTCTTTATTTTCCAAATCTTTCTTAATGTTTAGAATTAAACGCATTTATTATGTTTTTCTTTCGCCTTCTTTTCCTTCATTTTCCTTCCTTCTTTCTTTCTTTCGCTTTTCCCTGAAAGCAATTTATACCTAAAATTAAACTCATACTTTACGCTTTTCTTTCTCATTTTTCTTATTGTTTCCTTGATTTTCCTTTTCTTTCTTTCTTTCTTTCTTTCTTTCTTTCTTTCTTTCTTTCTTTCTTTCTTTTCCAAACGTTTTTTACGTTTAAAATTAAACACATTTATTATATTTCGGTTTCTCCTTCTTTCTTTCTTTCTTTCTTTCTTTCTTTCTTTCTTTCTTTCTTTTCCAAACGTTTTTTACGTTTAAAATTAAACACATTTATTATATTTCGGTTTCTCCTTCTTTCTTTCTTTCTTTCTTTCTTTCTTTCTTTCTTTCTTTCTTTTTCTTTCTTTCTTTTTTTCTTTTCCAAACGTTTTTTACGTTTAAAATTAAACGCATTTATTATGTTTCGGTTTCTCTTTCTTTCTCTCTTTCTTTCTTTCTTTCTTTCTTTCTTTCTTTCTTTCTTTATTTATTTATTTATTTTCCAAACATTTTTATGTTTAAAATTAAACTGATATTTTATATTTTGTTTTCTCCTTTGTTCTTTCATTTTCTTTCTTTCTTTCTTTCTTTCTTTCTTTCTTTCTTTCTTTCTTTCTCACTGAAGACTTTTTATATCTAAAACTAGCAGGATCCGTCCGCTCGCTATCACTTCGCAAAGTAAGATATATTCAATACTTGAAATATTTGAAACAACTATTTTAAATGGAAATTTCATTCATAAATTGGCTTGTTGTAATTAAGGAATGTTTTACAAATAGATACCAACTTGTTGAAGGCCAAGTAAAATGCTATAAAAGTACTATATAAGACAATATTCCTAAACAGAAGAATTTTTTATATGAAAATCAAAACAATCATTGAATAAAAGAACACTAATGAACGACAGTTAATTAATGAAAACTACTTTTTTTAAAAATCGTCCCCTGTTCTATCACCTATGAAATAAAAATAATTGTTTGTACGGAAAATAAGGATCTACGTACATCAAATCATCTTTAAAATAAGAGACAGCAGAAGAATTATCATTGAACTCTTAAAAGGTAAGCGTAAACATTAATTCAATACTTAAATGCAACGAGCAATTTTAAGTTTAGTTTATTGAAGCCTATTACATCTACTCCTCCCTAGCTATTGCAATGATGGCCAAATCAAGAGTCCTCCACAGGATCTAGCTTAAATACCACCTGATAGTGAAGCTTTTAAGCCAGGTTATAATGAAACGTGCACTGCAATTTTAGATACAAAAGGAAAATAAGACTTACTTCCCTTGAACTATGAAAGCAACGATAATGGCTAGTATAATATATTAATATATATTTTAACCTCGCATAATCTGGCGACCCTGAATCTGGTCTCAACGAAAATTGGTCCCCGCGCCAAACTTTTGTAGGGCTTTTGAATGAGCTATGAATCATTGAAATCGGACCAGTGGGAGCGGAGGCGTTGCTTGGACACACACACACACACGCATAGACACACAGGCATACATTGTACTTTATATATAAGATTAAACTCATACATTTTGTTTCTTCTTTTTTTCTAATAGTTTCCTTTATTTTCTTTCTTTCAATATTTTTCAAAAACCACATAGACTCTGTTAGCCTCCATCATGAACGACAATTTTATTACATATCTTAATTTTAATGCAATATTATTTAATTAGTTTCCCTTATAAAAATAATACTGTCACTTTAAGTATACGTTTCTTCTCTAATATTCATATTCATCCACGCCTATATTATAAATTATAACAAAAACGATTGAAAACTACTCACTGTCCTATCCCTAACAAAGAGACATTTGAAACAACTCACACGACGTGCACACATGAGACGCACGCATCTACATGGATATCAGTAATAATATGGCCATTTATATTATTATATTATATATTATATCCATGCGGATTTGACTCGAAAGCAATTATATCGTGTAGGTAGATATACAATCAGCCTGCTTATGCTGGTGAAAAACGCAAGCCTTTACCAAAAAACAAATATCTGGAAAAAATGATATCAGATAATATCACTGGCTTTCGCTGAAAGGAAGTTAGATGCATTGAAAACTGTCAACTTTCCATTAGTGTAGATTAGCATCGAGGATGGATTGGTGTAGGCGGTGCGACGTCAAAAGACAGCACTGATGTTCACTTCATTGATCAAGTGAACAACAGGTTTTTCCATGGAAAGCAATGGCACTGCCTTTAGGGCTGCTTATAACGGCCCTGAAGAGGACCGTAATGAGCTAAGTGGCCATGAGCAATGTGTATGCGAACTGAGATGGGAAGGGGGAAGAAGACAAAAGGACGAAAGCCAATTCAAAAACAAAGAAAGAAAGAAAGAAAGTAAAGAGGAGTGGGTAGTAAACTTAATGGAACGCTAAGAAATCTGGGGATCAGGGCTGGTAAGGCATAAAGTGACTCCGACATAGGATGATCTATCACAATCACAATGGGAGTGGGAAAATTACACATGACCTAAATGACTTTTGACAGAAGCGATAAGATCAATAGAAACAATGTCGATTGATCATTTGGACAGGTAACTTGCATTTGAACACAAACTTATTTTACTTACCTATATATATATATATATATATATATATATATGTGTGTGTGTGTGTGCGTGCGCACGCGCGTGTATGTATGTATGTATGTGCAGTGGGCTATACATATACATAATGTCATATGCTTGGAACGCAAACCTTTTAAGAAATCGGCGAGGCGTCCATATGCCCCATTATACAAATGGTCGCGTGGCTAAGCGGTTAGAGAATTAGTGTTCCGTCCATGAGACATGAATTACTCATCACGCCAGCTCACACACACACACACACACACACACACACACATATATATATATATATATATATATATATATATATATATATATATATATATATATATATCTGAAAAGCGTGGAGAAGGAAGCAAACGAGAAGTGCAAGGGAAAATAGACTGTTAGAATAGAAGTTACGGATACATCTAGCCAACTCAACCATAACTTGATGAGATCTCGACGGTCGTCTTGTACTGCGCTCAAATTCAAAAAGTATTGGTAACATAGGGAAGAGGTCAACCGAACAATTACTATGAAAGTATTTATAGAAAAGACACAGAGAAGCAACCTTACAGCGGTGGGAACATGACAGAAGCCGAGACGCAATAGCAGGAACAATATTTTTGCTGATTCTTATTTAGCGAAATAACAACAATATTCTAAACATGGATGAATGGTAGACTTATAAATACGTAAGATAGATTCTGGAGAAAAGAATTGTCTCGCACAACACAGTGAACAAACTTTTCTGAGTATCTAACCCAGCAATTGATTCAATATAACCTTTCCACTTCGTGTCAGCCGAGAACATTAGCCATAAAAATTTTGATCGAGAAGGCGTAAAGAGTGACTTTCACGAGTTCAGCATCAGCCATGTTGATGGATGGCAGAGAAGGGTCTCTCAGATGATTAATGGAAAGTATTTTAGTTTTGGGGGTGTTAAAATTAACAAGATTTCTTTTACCACACTTAACAGACTGAATGTCTTTTTGGACGTCGATTGCCATTTTGACCTTATCGAACTGATCAGACTTATTGTCGAGACAGGAGTAAATAGTTGTGTCATCAGCATAGACACCAAGATGAGAAGTTCATTAATTAAAAAAAAACAACAAAGTAAGACCAAGAATGGAGTACTGGAGTAAAGCTTTGAAATGGACACCCCAGCCCTGCCTCGACTTGACCTCTTTCCGAGGGTGACTGATATGTGGATACAAATTTTTAACTCTTACGCCACTTATGAAAATGGTCGCTCCAGCCGTTTCCATAGTAATTAATTTTGAGAATAAAAAACGCGTAAATTTCAAGATTGGTAATTCCTACATTTTCGCTTGAGGATGAAACAGGGCTTGATACTTTAATTCAATCTAATTTTAATAATTATATTGAGGTTTGTTGGATCTTGTTTTTGAAACATGAGAACTCTTATGTAGCGAAGGAATCATATTTTTAAAATAAATAATTATAATTTAAGCTTTACTTCTGTATGGAACACTGTTTTTTTAAAAATAAAAACAAAAATACTAAAGAACTCCGGATTATTTACCTAACATGTTCTTTCCTATTTTTCTACATATTTACACACACACACACACACACACACACACACACACACACACACATATATATATATATATATATATATATATATATATATATATATATATAAATATAAAAAAAAATATATACGGAAAAAACAAACAAAAATCTTTATATACAATTATGCTGTTTTAATGTTAATATGCCAACGTCGGACGTTTCGGTCTAATAAACCATCTTCGGAGCGCTGATCTTATAAAACTTACAATTATCTGTTGGATAAGTCTTGTTCTTATGTACAAAGTCTTTGTCATGTTGAATTGATAATGTTAATTATAATTTATGAATATGTCCTGAAGATGGTTTATTAGACCGAAACGTCCGACGTTGACATATTAACATTAAAAACAACATAATTGTATATAAGGATTTTTGTTTGGATCTATATCCATATATTTGATCTATTCCATATATATATATATATATATATATATATATATATATATATATATATATATATATATATATATATATACTGTGTGTGTGCTCGCTTTTCTTGCTTGCTTTCTTGTATGTGTGTATGCTCGTAAGATTATTTTGTAGTTAACAATCATCGTAAATTAAATATCACAGTAGCAGCCACTGTCTCATGTTATGTGAGAAGTAAAGCACATCAAGACTACATTTTCAATGCGAGCAATAATTAATAATTGATACCTTTCCTAATTTTTCGATTAAGGCAGTTATCTTTTTTGTCTGTCTGTTGACGTCCTTCTGTTAATGAAAGTAAATATGAATATTTTTCTCTGAGGTTATTAATGGCTACTTTTCAAGTGTTTGTGATTCTATTGCTGTTCAACAGTTCACGGTTTGCTTTACGGCATATCAACCTCAATGGATTATTTAATGCCGACAAAATTTTATTGCTGGTAATGTTTTCCTTTAAAAATGTTTTGCTCGTAATATTCTTTTACAATGTGTTTCTGGTATTAAAACCATTTTACACTTTCATAGTGTCTTGACCCCAGTTTGGTGGTTAACTATTGGCCCATAGCTGGGACCTTAATAAGTGGTACCACCTCGAGCCAAAGTAGAACTGGGAACACTAGCAATTAAGAGGTGATTTCACACTCCTCAAAACTCCTGATCAGAGGCCTTCTTGTCATCTTACCCAGGACGCGGATGTAGTTTATCGTCTTACCCAGGACGCAGATGTAGTTTATCGTCTTACCCAGGACGGTCAACGGTTCACAGCTGATGGCAAAATCAAAGCGATGAATATTGTTCCTGCTGTTGACGTTGCTACTCTAACGAATGATAATGTTGATTAGAACAATAATAGAAATTTATGAAGACTGAAACAACTTTTGTAAAAGACCAGGATTCAAGAAAGACTTCCTAATGAGCGACCACAACAGAAATGGCTTGCGGGACAGAGAATCTAAAAGCAGTTATTTGTTCAAGAGCTGAGAATGATATCGAATGTAAAGGTTGGAATCTTGCCTATAATAGTAAATACAATTAGGAACTGAGTCCAAAGCATTGGATTTGAGATTAGTAGAATTGGAAATCCAAGGAAGGTTGCTATTTGTTGCGGGGATATTAAGAAATGGGCTGGAGATTTGTGGGGATTAGTTCTCAATGATTCCTTTGTGACAATCTGCAAACCTCTCGAGTGAACAATTCTTAACCAATAATAATAATAACCCTTAAATTACATAACCAACATCACTGGGGATAGAACAACGGAATGCATAATTTCTGATCATTTTTTAGTCATTTAAATAAATAGATAATAATAGCAGGGTATGATTTTTTTCAAATCTCAGACCGTAACAGCAGACACGGCTGAAGTTATGTACTTATTAGAAACCTGATCTCAGTAATATATGGCTTACGGCCATATCACATTTAAGCACCGGTTCCTGTACGTTCACCGAAGTTAAGCAATGTCGAGTCCAGTCAGTACCTTGATGAGTGACCACTTGTGAATACTAGGTGCTGTAAGCTTGGATGTGCAGGTGGTTTAATGGATAATGCCTCGGAGTTGTTAATTAGAAAGCCGAGTTCCAATTCCGGTTGGGTTCGTTATATTCGCTTACGTGCAATACCCTTAGGAAATGTATGACTCCACCTCTTCTGCTCCACATAGGGATTAATTTATCAGTAAATCTTTATTATTTCCAAAAAATCTTACAATCTAAAAATATTTTCTAGCTTTAATTAACCAGCAAAGTGTTGATAAGCCGTAAAAAACGAAAAACTCAAATGAAATCACTAATAAATAAATAAAAGGAAAAACTATTGTTTCTATTACACGTAGTATGCTTAGCGATACTGGAAGCGGGTAAACGTAGATCTACCTTTTTAAAATTATAAGGGGTTACGGTGTGGTGTGAGATAAGCATAAGAGAAAGCAAGAAGTGCATTTCGTGAGGTTATATAGGAAAGATAATGGTTCACCCCAGAGGTTAAAATTTTAGTGATCGGTAAGACATTCTACTTGATTTCTGTTCCACAAAGTAACAGTTCTTTGGAAGTAATTGTCCGAGTAGATCAAACGTACTAATTGAATATAAAGGGAATGAGGATGAATTATCCTTGTGTACGTGGTATGCCAGGTCCCAGCTGCAAACGCTAGGTCTGGTGTAACCACAGAATGTAGCTCGTCAGAACATTTGCCATAGACTTGAAGCCACAGCAATCTGCTTCTACAGAACGATGCTAAGCATACAATGACCGATCATATGAGCAACTACGATCGTTTAGAGCAAATGGCAACAAAAAGGACAGTAAACTTTTTGAGGCTATAATCAACAAGAAGGCCGTCAAACACCTAGATAAGAACAATCTATTCAGCGACAAGTAGTACAGGTTTCGATCGGCCTAATTCACTGCTGATGCGTTAACCAATCCTCTTTTCCATTTATATAAATGATCTGCCTAAGAACAGATTTTTGTCAACATCTATTCCGAGGATACGACGATATACGGGTACACTTCTAAAACCCTATATGATCAGAGATTGGCAGCTGATCTCTCATCCGATCTAGCACTAACTTCTCAGTTGCAGAAAAATGGCTAATTACATTCAATGCCTCGAAAACCAAACTAGTTACATTCCATCGTAGTCGATTGGACCCCGAATACCGTCAGTAACGATGAGTGGATGTCCACTCGGGGAGGCTTCGAGTCTTGAGTGACTATTTTGCCTTAAACTCACACCTGACCACGAATTGGGCTCGTACATACTGCAAAGATACAGGAAAAATGTCCGGCTCCCAACCTGTACCTGACTCCTCATGCTACCCTCTAACTCTACAAGAGCCAGATTAAGCCGAAAATGGAATACTGTTGTCATATTTGAGCGGGAGCTATCAAGTCCTCATTTTCCAGTCTCGATAGAGTTCAAAATCGTGTCTGAGTCCTTGTGGGTGATAAATTATTTTCCATCCTCCAACTATTCTCTTAGAGGTGGGATATGGCAAACCGATCTCTATTGCTACTTCCATGGAAAGTTCTCGGGTGACCCTACATTCGTTGTTTCCGTCAGTTCTAACCTGCACAGCTAGGACCCACCATGCCACTTATATTGCAGCAAAATACCTACCCTCCGTATTCCATCGCTGAGAGGTGAGTTCCATTCGATCAGCTTCTTCCCGTGAACCATTGCTCTGTGGAACCGACTTTCAAGAGGATGTTTCTCCGACCACGACAATCTTAACTTGTTCAAGTCTAGGTTTATTTTCTACTATCCGTATAAAGTGCCTGTTAATGTAACTCTCTTCCTCGAGTAGGCCCCGGGCCTTGTACAGGGTGAACTACACTGTTAAAAAAAAAAAAAATACTTAACATCTGGAAGAGACAGTTGAAATTTCTAGAGCATATAATAAGAAAAGAGAGCTTGGAAAATCTGATACTTACAGGATATATTGAACGTAAGAGAGACAGAGGAAAACAATGCATAAACTACTTAACTCGAAAAAATGGTTGGCAAAAAATGTTTAGAAGATGTAACCAAAAAAACAAAACAAACTTATTAAGATCTGCACTAGGAGAAGAAGAAGAACAGTAATAGTAATAATAATAATAGTAATAGTAATAATAGTAATAATAATAATAGTAATAATAATAGTAATAATAATAGTAATAATAATAGTAATAATAGTAATAATAATAATATTAATAATAATAGTAATAATAGTAATAATAATAGTAATAATAATAGTAATAATAATAATAATAATAATAATAATAATAGTAATAGTAATAATAATAATAATAATAATAATAGTAATAACAATAATAGTAATAATAGTAATAATAATAGTAATAAATAATAATAATAGTAATAATAGTAATAATAATAGTAATAATAATAGTAATAAGTATAATAATAATAATAGTAATAATAATAGTAATAATAATAGTAATAATAGTAATAATAATAATAATAATAATAATAGTAATAATAGTAATAATAATAGTAATAATAATAGTAATAATAATAATAGTAATAATAATATTAATAATAATAGTAATAATAATAATAGTAATAATAATAATATTAATAATAATATTAATAATAATAGTAATAATAATAGTAATAATAGTAATAATAATAATAGTATTAATAATAGTAATGACAGCAAAAAATTGATATGAACAAATTGGGACATTATAAATATTTACCAAGCTTGGATTCATGTATCGCAAGTCATAATACAAATGTAAATAAATTGTAATTAATATTTTTTCAAAGAATTCCGTGTTATAGCTTAGGAAAAAAAAAAGCGATAGGGATAAGAAATTATGTTTAACTGATTAGAAAAACATGACATTCTAAATGTTCAATTGTCCTCACGCTTTCTAAGAAATCTTGTCTTAAACTTTATGAAACAGTTTATAACAAAACATTAAATGCCGAGCATCTCTCTCGGTGGTAAATGATATTGTTTTTTGAAAATGCCATTGAAAAGGTCATAAATACAACGTGAGTGACAAACTAGTCACATTCAGATCCATCTTGTTCTTAGAAAGTTTTCTGCAGCCTCCTGTTGATATCAATCTAATTATCAGCGCAATTAGATGACAACTGCTGATAAATTCATGAGAACGTATTTTTTTTATTGAAAAAAATGTGTAATTTGCGTTTTATACATATAGACATTTAAAGGTAAGTCGCAGAAAGGAAAGGCCAGGTCTTTTTCCTTTTTTATATAAATGTTTACCCAATACAGGGCCAAAAAGCCACTCAAGGTAGAGGGTTATTTTGTAGTGTTGTATGAATATAAAGAGGGAAGATGTGCAGTTCATGATGTTATGTAGGAAAGATAAAGGTTAACCCTAAACTGGAAGGGATCAAAACTGTAGTGAATGTGAAAACACTCTGTTGGGAGTTTGTTCAACAAAGTAGCACTTCTTGGAAAGAATTTATCCGCGTGGAACTTAATTTTTATTAATGAAATACAAAGGGAATAAGGATGATATTTGTGTTCGTGACATTTTGGGAAGAATATCAACGCAAAAAAGAAATCCGTGAAACGAGTTCAAATTCTGGTCTAGTCTGTTGAGCTCTCTTTCGTACTAATGCCCCTGATAAAGTTAGGAATCTATTTATTAGCTTATAATCTTATGGATAAAACAGTAAAAAAAAAGCCGTTTACTGTTGCAGAAGAGTCATTCTTTCAGAAGAAGAAAAAAACTCAGAATTAAAAACCGTGAAGAAAGCGCCTGGAAATAACTCCAATGAGATTATAGAAAGAAAGCGAAACTGTGGAAAGTTATGATAACTTACCCGAGATTTGTTTAAATTTTCAAAATTATTTATCGCTACAGCCCAATGATTCCCTGAAAATTGGAAGGTCTTCCAGGATATATTATCAGCATGCATGACATTAACATCACACGCTATGCAGATGGCACTTTGTTGATGGCAGATATATAAGAACAACTGAACGAAATATCAGAAGAGGTAGTCGAGAAGGGTTTGTAAGAATTAATTCGAATATATAACATTTTCTATCGCAGATAATCAGATAGTTGAATTTCATTAATTTGAGATCCCCTATAGGTAATTTACTTTTTGTGCTCACCAGCATGCATTCTGTTTTCTTCTTATTAATTCTTATAGTTCTTTCTTGGACTACCTTGACTAATTGTTTTGTTTAACTTATACCATCTATACAGTGTTATTTATTTATTACGATTGCGTTCGCCGATAAGTCGTAACAGACCCCACAATTCTCTTAGAAATATTTCAAAATATTTTAATTACCTACCACAGCTTTTGGTTGTAGAGGTAAGGAATTAAAATAATTTTAGAAAAATGAAAAAAAATGTTATGTTCTTTCAAGATGAAGGCGACCATGATCTCCACAGATTTTTTTCTTTCTTTTATCTGTGAGCTGCCATACTTTCTTGGGAAAGATAGTGGAGTAAAAGTAAATGCAAAAGACTAGGCCAAAATTTGAACCAGTATCGTCGACTTACTTTTCCGCGCCGATAGCTGTTAGACGTTCCCCACATCCATTAGAAATACTGACATTAAAAGTGTTAACGTTAAAAAGTGAATATAATGAATACCCACGAAAATAATTTAATCACGGGCAACTTTGATATTCCTATTATTAACAATTTCGTCTGTCAAGTTATGTATTTTTCTTTCTCTTTCCCTCTGTATGTTTGCGTATGTGTGTGTGTGTTTGCTCGTGTGTATGTGTTCTGAATACTTACGCCTTTGATTTTCAGATCTGCCTCCTCCGCGTTATCAACAATAGTAAAAAAATATAGAAATACCAGTCTATCAACGGACAACCTGTGGTCAGTGAGTGACCAAAGGAGCTTGCTGATTATGGCCGCACAAATTATGCTACACGACATCACACCAACCGAGCTACCAATGATGACTGGATCCAGTATTTTTGGATTTTGAAAACAGAGATGCAGGAGTTTCAAAAATATTTATATACATTCTTTTAACACTCACTCCTTCAAAAAAGCAATAAA